AAAGGTTTTTTTTTTTTTTTTCGGTTTTTTTTTTTTTTTTTTTTTTAAATCTTTCTGGTGTGTGTTTTTAACTCTTGAGCATCAAACGCGTTACAAAAAAATCTTGAAAGTGTCTGAAAAATGATTTGTGAATGTATATCCTATTGGCAGGTAAGGTGGTTTAACAATTAAACAAAAAAATAAAAACTTCAAAGTTGGAAACTTTCCTTTCAAAATATGCTTTTAACAAACATTTTCTATCATATAAAGTACTTCTACACATGAATTAGAAAGAAAAAAATTGTATCATTTATGTTTGCAAAAGTTAAATAATAATAAGGGGAGAGAAAGGACATGATGATAATAATATTAGTAACCACCAAAGGATGTGGTGCAGTGGATGAGACTGCTCTTCCTTTAACTACAGGTCTCGAGTTCGAGCCCTGGGTATGGAAAAATCCTTGATAGGGAGTGCTTCCCCCCGAATGGGGCCCTACGCGGCGCGAATCCGGATATAGTCGGGCTCCAATGCGGATACTGGACACCGGGTGGGAAACAAAAAAAGGTAATAATATTAGCTGGCTTGCTCCCAATTTATAGTTGAATTTCTATACAGAATGTCAACAACCTTGAAATTAGCAGTCGAATTTAGGGAGTTGTGTGATCCAGACTAAGATTCCCAATACAGAATTTAATTGGTTAAATAATACATGAATGCCAGTTCAATTTGAGTTGGTGTTGAGCTCATTTTTGGGAAAATATAATTAAGATAACTTAGATTATAAGCCAATGGAATTAATTGCTGACGAGAATTGTTACTTTACTGTCACGCTAACCAGACCACATAATTAAACGCTCTGTTAGCTGCTTTGGACTAAACTCCATAAATTTTAAAAATTCGGAGTATTAATTTTTCTTTTATACAGTAAGTTTTTAAGAATTCTTTTCATTTTCATTAGTCTGTTTTTAGCATAATGATAAACTATAGTAACAACTCTTTAAATAATATGTTTGATATAATCTGGGATTGAGAATTCAGAGAATGAAGGAAGAAGGAAGAAGAGATGAAATCAATTTTCTATTCTGTTATTACTGTACATGTCATTACACAATATTTAACTAAACTCTAACAGCTTAACTAATCACTCACGTGCCTATCACATGTGTGAGTGTGTATTGTCTAAAATACTCCTTCTCGCATTCTATCCTTTTAACTCTCAATACTCCCCCTCAAGCTGGAGGGTGGAATACATCTAACACTTCAAGCTTGGATACTAGGAAGCAATGTTGTGCAGCAGTCAATCCCTTTGTTAGGAGATCAGCTAATTGCAAAGAAGAGGAAACATGGCATGGATGTATGAGCCCTGCTTTGATCTTCTCTCTTACAAAGTGACAATCTATCTCGATATGCTTTGTTCTCTCATGAAACATTGGATTTCCAGCAATTTGAATGGCTGCCTTGTTGTCACAGAACAGAGAAACAGGTTTAGACACTTTGATCCCCAAGTTCTCCAACATTCCTGTCAGCCATGTGATTTCTGCAGTTGCAGCTGCCATGCTTCTGTATTCAGCTTCTACTGAACTCCTACTCACTGTAGGTTGTTTCTTTGATTTCCATGAAATCAAGGAATTCCCTAACTTCACGACATAACCTGTCACAGACCTCCTTGTGTTGAGGCAAGATGCCCATCTGAATCACAGTATGCACTAAGTTGATCAATTGATCCTGCTTCCATCAATAACCCCATTCCTGGTGCTCCCTTGATGTATCTCACCACTCTCAATGCTGCCTCCATGTGTGACTGTTTGGGTTTTTGCATAAACTGACTCAAGGTTTGTACTGGAAAGCTTATATCAGGCCTAGTAATAGTTAAGTATAGCAATCTTCCTATCAATCTTTGATAGGCTGATTTGTCTTCTAACTCTGAATCTCCTTTCTTCCCAATGCATGTGTCATATTCCACTGTTGTCAATTTTTGATTCAATCCAATAGGAGTAGCAAAATGCCTTGCACCACTCAAACCTGTCTCCGAGATTAATTCCAAAGCATACTTTCTAAGATTAAGTAGGATCCCTTTCTTTGATCTTGAGACTTCAATTCCCAGGAAATATCTTAATGTGCCTAAGTCCTTGACTTTGAACTTACTATGTAAAATTGTCTTGGCATCATTAATTAGACTGGAGCAGCTCCCAGTGATTAGCAAATCATCCACATATATCAGTATAATGACCACCTCTTCTCCTTGGTGCTTAGTGAATAAGGAGCGATCAAATGCACTCTGTTTATAGCCATTCTGAGTAAGTGCATCAGTGAGTTTTATGTTCCATTGTCTAGATGCTTGTTTGAGACTGTCACGATCCCAGTTCACCCTCCATGAACATGTCGTGATGGCACCTAGTTCCTACAACTAGGTAAGCCTAACAGTGCGGAATAACGAGTTAACATTTGCGGAATAATAAATTAAAACTGAACATACGGAAGTAACAACTGTATATATAAGGCCACTCAGCCTATACAACTCAAAATATGCGGAAGTCTATAACTAAATCCCAAAACTCGGAAACTCACGGGAAACACAGGCTAATAGAATGTAGTAAACTTCTCTACACCAGAATGTCTAAACAACATGAAAGGAAAGAAAAGGAACTATCTGCTAAAGCCGGAATAGAGTAGAGACTCCTGGTCTGCGAACGTAGAAGATATACCTCAAGTCTCAGCTAGGACTCTCCACCACGAGGATGATACGTCTGGGAGGAAGTACCTGGATCTGCACATGAAAAACATGTGCAGGAAGGGCATGAGTACACCACAGCGGTACTCAGTAAGTGTCAAGCCTAACCTTGGTTGGGTAGTGACGAGGAAGGTCAGGGCCCTACTGAGATAACATAATAAATAATGAGATAACAGAAATAGTTTAAATAAAGTCTACAGCGAGAATCTAAACCAGGTAAATAAGGAAGAACAGTAATAGAAAGCAAAGGTAACAGTACACGGAAAACTGCCCTCACAAGGAATAGTAGCCGGGGATCTCTTGGTATCCTCATCATCAACACTAGGGATCTCTCGGTATCCCGAGGATCTCTTAGTATCCTCAATAAGTAAGTCGGGGATCTCTTGGTATCCCAATATATATATAAAAACACATGTGCCAAGGATCTCTTGGTATCCCGCACCCTCAGTCCAGAATATCTCAAGTACAGGGGATCTCCCGGGAAGCCGTCCCGTAGTCCCAAATTAAACACACAACAACAACGATTCCTAAAATCTCGGATCAATGCTAAAAATCAGGACACGAAGTAGTAAATTATAGCCTAACATGCTTCACAGAGTACAAATAGCACAGTTAAAGCAAATAAGTAGGTAAGCCAGCTAAACATGAGTCTCTAAGCTAGCACAGGTACAAACTTACAGTTAAAATGAACAAGTAAACAAGAAAGCTCAATTTAAATACTTCAAGTAGAAACGGATTTACAACAATTAGCTCAGGTACGCGCTCGTCACCTCACGTACGGGGCATTCAAATATTCAAGATCATATCCTAAGGGAAAAGGTCCCCTACACAAGGTTAGACAAGCCACTTACCTCGAACCGGCTCAAAATCAACTAGAAACCACGCCTTTGCCACGAGTATCCAACTCCAAATGGCCCAAATCTATTCAATACATTTACATATCATAAATAACATCGCAGACAACTGGTTTTGCTATTTAATTCAAAGCTACGGCGTGAAATTAGGTAAAATGACCAAAATGCCCTTCAGGCCAACGTCTCGGAATCGAATAATTTTTACAGTTTCAGAACCCTCGTACTCTCACGAGTCCAACCATATAAAAATCTCTCAAATCGGAGGTCAAATGCCCCCTAAAAACCCAATAGTTTGGTCTATGAACTTTCACCCAATTTCATTCAAAATCCGAAATTTAAAGATGAAAGTGATTAGATTAGTGGGTATTAAGCATAAGAGAGTAGAGAATCGTTACCCAATCGTTGCTCTTGAAAACCCCTCGAAATTTCTCCCAAATCCGATCTCTCTAGCTTGAGTTTTGTTAAAAATGGCTAACCCTCGTTTTTGAAATGTTAAATACTGTCCAGACACTCAATGCATTGCGAACGAGGAGACTAGATCGCATTCGCGGAGAAGAAAGATGGAAGATGTCAAATATGCTCTTCGCGATCGCGAGGAGTAGGATGCGAACGCGAAGGCCTGGGATTTTTAAAGCTACGCGAACGCGTGGCCTGTAACGCTATCGCGATTAAGGAAAAATGTTGAGGTCTAGAAGTTGTTCTACGCGAACGCGTGCAAGGGTTCGCGAACGCGAAGAACTGACTGGCATAGGTACGCGAACGCGGTGAAGTTTATGCGAACGCGATGAAGAAACTGGCCTCCCTCCAAGATTACACTATGCGAACGCGAGAGGGAGGCCGCGATCGTGAAGAGGAAAAGTCTGCAACAGCTGAGTTCAGTTTTCTGCAATATTTTCCAACTCCAAAGTGCTCCGTTGAGCACCCGGAACACACCCGAGGCCCCCGGGACCTCAACCAAACCTACGGACATATCCCATAACATCATCCAAACTTGTACCAATCCTTAAACCACCTAAAACAACACCGGAAACACGAATTAATCAAGGATTCAAGCCTAAGAACTTCAAATTCCAACCAAACACGCTTTCGATCAAAAACCTACCCGAACCTCGTCCGAATGACCTGAAATTTTGCACACACATCCCAAATGACATGACGGAACTGCTGCAACTTCCGGAATTCCAATTCGACCCTCGGATCAAAAACTCACTATCGGACTGAAAACTTCAAAAATCCAAACTTCGGCGTTTCAAGCCTAAATGAGCTACGGGCCTCCAAAATACATTCCGAACACGCTCCCAACCCCGAAATCACCTAACGGAGCTAACGGAACTATCGAATTTCCATTCCGAGGTCGTCTTCACACTGTTCTGATTACGGACCATTTTTCAACTCTTAAGCTCTCATTTAGGGACTAAGTGTCCCAAAACACTCCGAATCCCAACACCGAACGTCCCGGCAAACCAAAATAGCAGAAATGAACTTAGGGGAAGCAGTTAATGGGGGTCGGGGCATAAATTCCAAAAACGACCGGTCGGGTCGTTACATCCTCCTACACTTAAACATTCGTTCGTCCTGGAACGAGCATAGAGAACATACCTGAAGTAGTGAAAAGATGAGGGTACTGGCTGCGCATATCCTGCTCGGTCTCCCAAGTCGCCTCCTTGGCCGGCTGACCTCGCCACTGAACCTTCACTTAAGCGATGTTCTTTGACCTCAACTTCCTGACCTGACTGTCCAAAATAGCCACTGGCTCCTTAACATAGGATGGATCCTTGTCTAGCTGGACTGAACTGAAATCCAACACATGCGACGGATCCCCGTGATATCTCCGGAGCATCGAAACATGAAATACCGGATGAACTCCGGCCAAACTGGGAGGTAAGGCAAGCTCATAGGCAACCTCCCCAACTCGCCTCAAGATCTCAAAAGGGACAATAAACCTCGGACTCAACTTTTCTTTCTTCCCAAACCGCATGACGCCCTTCATAGGCGAGACCCGAAGCAGAACCCGCTCACCAACCATATATGAAACATCACGGACCTTCTTGTCCGCGTAACTCTTCTGCCTAGACTGGGCTGTACGGTGTCTGTCCTGAATCACCTTGACCTTCTCCAATGCATCCTGAACCATCTCTGTACCCAATAGCCCGGTCTCACCCGGCTCAAACCAACCCACCGGAGATCTACACCTCCTGCCATATAAAGCCTCATACGGCGCCATCTGAATGCTGGACTGATAATTGTTGTTATAAGCAAACTCCGCCAATGGCAGGAAATGACCCCAAGACCCTCCAAACTCAATCACGCACGCACGGAGCATGTCCTCAAGAATCTGAATAGTGTGCTCGGACTGTCCATCCGTCTGGGGGTGAAATGCTGTGCTCAACTCCACCCAAGTGCCTAACTCCTGCTGCACAGCTCTCCAGAACCGCGATGTAAACTGAGTACCTCTGTCCGAAATGATAGAAACTGGAATACCATGCAGACGGACGATCTCCCTGATATAAATCTCGGCCAATCGCTCCGATGAATAAGTGGTACACACAGGAATGAAATGAGCGGACTTGGTCAGCCGGTCCACAATAACCCAAATGGAATCAAACTTCTTCCAGGTCCGTGGAAGTCCCGACACGAAATCCATGGTGATGCGCTCCCACTTCTACTCCAGAATCTCTATCTGCTGAAGCAACCCACCCGGGCGCTGGTGCTCATACTTTACCCACTGGCAGTTGAGGCATCTAGACACATAACCAACTATATCCTTCTTCATCCGCCTCCACCAGTAGTGCTGCCTCAGGTCCTGATACATCTTCGCGACACCCGGATGGATGGAATACCGCGAACTATGGGCCTCTGCTAGAATCATCTCTCGAAGACCATCAACATTGGGCACACAAATCCGGCCCTACATCCTCAATACTCCATCATCTCCAATGGTCACATCTCTGGCATCCCCACGCTGGACCCTGTCCTGAAAGACAAGCAAATGAGGGTCATCATACTGCCGCTCCCTGATACGGTCAAATAGGGAAGATCGGGAAACCACACAGGCTAGAACCCGACTGGGCTCCGAAAGATCCAATCTCACGAACTGGCTGGCTAAGGCCTGAACATCCATCGCCATAGGCCTCTCTGAAGCTGGTAAATATGCCAAACTCCCCAAACTCTCCGCCCGGCGACTCAAGGCATCCGCCACCACATTGGCCTTGCTTGGGTGATACAGGATAGTGATGTCATAATCCTTCAGCAGCTCTAACCACCTCCTCTGACGCATATTGAGATCCTTTTGCTTGAGCAAGTGCTGCAAACTCCGATGATCAGTATAGATCTCACAAGGCACTCCATATAAATAATGACGCCAGATCTTCAAGGCATGAACAATGGCAGCTAACTCAAGGTCGTGGACAGGGTAATTCTTTTCATGTATCTTCAACTGTCTGGACGCGTAGGCGATCACCCTACCGTCCTGCATCAACACTGCTCCAAGGCCAACTCTCAAGGCGTCACAATAGACAGTATAAGACCCCGAACCAGTAGGCAACATCAAAATAGGGGCTGTAGTCAAAGCTGTCTTGAGCTTTTGAAAGCTCGCCTCACACTCCTCTGTCCACTGAAATGGGGCACCCTTCTGGGTCAATCTAGTCATAGGGGCAGCAATCGATGAAAATCCCTCCACAAAACGACGGTAGTAACCCGCCAGGCCAA